AATAATCATTAGCAATAAAATAAAGCGTACGACTACAGTGCTATTACTCACAGTGTTGTGGTGGAGTAGTAGTTGCTTCCAGTATGCGCCCTACATACACACGCGGTTCAGGAATTAGTCCATTTCTTTCTTTAAACAATGCCTAATTCATTTCACTTCAAATGAATTTACAAACATTGTAAAGGCATCAAATACAGATTTTAATAACACTAGAGGGATAAACACGTAAAACGGAGCAGACGAAATTTTTCAGTATGGACCGCACATGCGGCTGTGAGCCCCGCACGTACGGCAGTGGTTCCCGCATGTGCGGCTGTGAAGCCCCGCATGTGCCTTTTTTCCAGTAGCCTCAGTCCCAAAATCCCCTGTTTTCCGCACGTGCGGCTCTGAGCCCCGCACGTGCGGTGATTCTGCCCTATTTTGCAGTCCAAAATTCAAGCAACAATTACAACAAAGCCAATTCCTTCTAGAGGAGAAATATAGAGAAATTAATGAAATTTTAGGATCTAAAATCACCGTAAACATGGTTTATTAACTCAATTAGGTCTTTAAAAGCTTTAAACTCATAAACACAATTTAAGCACCTTGAATTCCTACTATATAGTTCCCAAATATATATGTAATCATCCAAACACATAAATGAGTTCCAACATGTATAGATAAAGGAATAGAATGAAATTCTTCTCCATACAACTCAACTTAAACCCAAAATAACCCAATGATAAAAACATCTTCCCAATTCAACCATCAACACAAACACAACTCCAATACACACCCTAATTTGCATGAATATCAAGGAAAATCTTACTCGTTTTAAAAAAAGGAATGAATTCGAGTAAAATACACATACCTTGAGCTTTAAACCCTACAATCTTTCTTAATTTCCCAATCTTCTTCCCTTTCTCTCTTCTCCTACTCCTAGTTCTTTCTCTCAACTTCTCTACATTCTCTCATGAGATATTTTTGACTTATAAGATAGACTTACCAAGTTAAAGTTTGAAGGAGTTCAAATAAGGGTTAACACAAAAGGACAAAATTTAATCAGTTTAATCATTCCAAATCAGATTTTCACAAATATGCATATTATAAACTAAAAATCATGCTGATCACATATATAAAGTCAATTCCGGATTATCAAGCCTCTAAGGCCTTCAATTTCTGATCTAAACATCTCAATTGTAACAGATTTTTCACTCTAGATAACAGATATAGTTCCATAACCATATTTTTTACACAATTAAGTTTAATCTCACATGGGATTCCACATTAGCCAGATAAATACACAAATTAAGGACATAAAGTATACCAGAAAACATATAGAGGGTCGGGTTATTACAATTACAAGCCTCAAGCTTGTTTGAAAAACTAGAAGCTTGTTACAATCCCTCCATACACGTGTATGGAGGATGCATTTTGTGCCCAACAGCTGGCACAGCTAGCACCAAAAATATCTACAAAAATAGAAAAAAAAGTTGTAGGGCACTTCAAATGGCCGACCAACCACGTCCACTGGCCTATCGGCCAGTTAAAGTGGCCTACAAGAGGAGAAAGTGGCCTACAACCACCAAAAGTGGCCGACAGGCCCTCCCCTCCCTCTAAGCAAGGGTTATTATGGTATGGTCCAAAAACAAACCAAAAAGAAGGGATCCAACAGACCCCAAGACAAGACACTCAGCTGAAAGCTCCCGAAACTAGCATACCGGCCACCGCAAGTGGCCTACAAGAGAGAAAAGTAGCCTACGGCTACAAAAAGTGACTTACAGGCCTCTCTCTTCCTCCAGGCAAAGGTACCAAGGCATGGCCCCAAAGCAAGGCCAAAACACAAAGAGTTCAGAGGCTCAAAGACAAAGGGCTCGACCGAGACCTTCGGGCACTCAAAACTAGCACAAACATGTGCAATCACCGAGTGCACAAATGATGACATCAAAGTCTTGAGGTCGGTCAAAATGGCGTGTCTACAGCTTCCCGTTTTCAACGCAGGCCGAAACGAGAGAATACCGAGTCCATCAAAGCTATTTTAAGGTACAAGAAGAGGTCCACGCCCGAGCTATTGGATTACCAATCGACTTATCGTTCCACCATCTCGAAGAAAGCAAGGTTCACTGCATCTCTTCTGAATTTTGACACTGAGACTGATACATCCCTTACCCCTCTGGTTACAAATCGCCGCCGAAGCCAAGTTGTGCCGTCTGAGAGGACACCTTCTCCTGCCCCCAGTTTCGCAGGGGATCAGTCTATGTCAAAAAGGAGGGTACTGGTGGATTTGGAAGCATAGGCTTTTGGCTCTTCTGACGCTTTGGAGGCTCCTTCTGTGAAGGCCGAAATAAAGAGCCTCATGGATGTGAAGTTAGAGGTAGGAGCCTTTGGAACTCATGTTATCGCTATCGAACCCTCTGCTTCGGTTGCTGCGAGAGCGAAGAAGATGAGGAGGGAGACCGGCAAGGCGGTAGCTGGAGAGGCTTCTAAAGATCCTATTAAGGATGAGTCATTTAAGAAGTGGGAACCGCCAATGTTATATCAGGGCAAGCCCATTTCTACTTCAGATTCAATTGTTGCTTCCAGAGACTTCGCTTTTGACCTGACAAAGACCTTGTTAACGCCAGTGGACATGGCTGATCATAACGGGCCCCATGATATTCTAGTTCTGAAGGGGACTCTTCAAATGATGACTGTTGTAAGTGTTTTTTTTTTTTGTGTTATGCTACTGTTTTCTTTCTTTTAATACCTTGCTATCTGTTGTAGTGTATTCAGAGGATGCACCTGTCAATCACCATAGCAGAGGAACTGGAGAAGGCCGTACTGGAGGCCTCTATGAAAGCTGAGAGATTGTTAGTGAGCTTGGAGGTCGAGAAAGAAGGACGCAGAACTGCCGAGAGGGAGGTGTTCCGTCTGAACAAGGTTGTTGCCTCTGCTGAGAAGTCTAAGGAGGCTGCCATTAAGGTACAGGCCCAACTTGAAGGGAAAGTTTCAAAGTTTGAGGTTGTTATTGCGGTGATGGCCACTGAACGTTCTGCGTTGGAGGCTAAGTATTGGCAGCAAGGCTGGGATGAGGTTGGGGCTGCTTACAAAGAGGAGGTGCTGGTGTTACGGGACAAGCTCTTTCTAAAGGGTTAGTCGAGTGCTCTGATCGCTACTCAGGTTCCTGAAGGGTCTCCCTTGTTTCAGGATGTCCCTGTTCCCTCAAGATCCTTAGGTCCAAAGACTGCTGCTATCCCTGCAATTCTTTCAGCTGAGGTTTTCCCAGGAACTGATTTTGTAACCAATACTCAGGAGGGCGATGTTGCCAACGAGACAATGAATGTTGAAGGGGGTGGAACCTTGGAAACTGAAATTGCGAGAGATGTGGTTAAGGAAGCTTCTACTTCTCAAGAAGTTGGAGATGCCTCTATTTTTCCTCTCCAAGATGGCCTGGATAAGATTGTGGATGCTGCTCCTGAGGTTCCTCTTGTTGATGGAAGTTAAAGTCTTCTTTGGAATGATTCAAACTTTTTGCTTTTTCTCTCTTTCTTTTGTTTTCATGTTTCTATTGTATTGGGCCTTGGTCTTCCTGACGAGTTGCCCGTTTATGTTTGCCATGACAATTTTCTTCTTTTTGTTATTGTTTGTGAGGCCAACTTGTGCCTTTGTTGGATGATGGAATTTTTCTTTTGATTTTACAATCTGATGCTTTCTTGTTTCTATGTCTGAATGTTATCTATACTGTGTTTCCCCCGGCCAAGCACTGTTGAGACCTCTGCGCCGAATAGATGCTCGGTCTAGTTAACGAATATGTTGTACGATTGTGCTTGGTTTTGTGATGAAAGGAGAGGGTCTTACTTAGGTCCAGGTTGGTTCTGAAAAACAATTGTTTGCCCCCAACTGGAGCTAAGTAAGGTAGGTACTGAAGATTATGCCCTTTAGGCAGAATTGCTTAAGTCTGTTGCAACTTTGATAGCACAAGTGTATTGGAAGTTTACTATTGATATAGTTTAGCTAAGTTTGTTCCAAATCTGTTCATATGCAGCAATACTATAGTGTCGATGTGATGGTACTTAAGAAATTCTGTGGACTTAGAGATGTTTACTTAAAATATGTTAGTGCGGTTTCCACCAAGCAGTTCCACTTGGCGAAAGTCCAATTTAGTTGCCAAACATAATTCCACCAAGCAATTCCACTTGGTATGTTTGAGTGCTAACTAAAATCAAAACCCATTCAGTCGTTCTGAAACTAAGTCCGTTTAGGTTTAGACCAAAGCTAAGTTCGTTTGATAAACATTAAAGCTAATTCCGTTTGATAAACATCAAAGCTAATTCTGTTTGATAAACATCAAAGCTAATGTCGTTTAATAAACATTATAGCTATTTCTGTTTGGTAAATACCAAAGCTAATTCCGTTTGATAAACATCAAAGCTATTTCCGTTTGGTGAGCACCAAAGCTGATTACAAAAATTTGATAAATTTGAGAGAAGTGGGAAGGCATTTGTAATGGTCAAAAGACAAATGCCTTTATATTTTGATAGAGAAGTTAGGGGATAATTCTATTGATAGTATTTCTTAAGATTTACTACATTCCAAGGCCGAGGCATGGCTCTGCCTTTGAGATCCTCTAGGTTGTAAGCTCTATTTCCAACAACAACTGTGACTTTGTACGGACCTTCCCAATTAGGTCCAGATTTTCCTTCGCCATGCACCCTTTTGTGATCCATAACTTTCCTTAAAACCAACTCTCCAGGTATGAATTGCCTTGGGAAAACTTTTTGGTTGAAACTCTTGATGAGCTGCTGCTGATATGCTACAAGTCTGATCAGTGTTGCTTCCCTTTGGCCTTCTGCCATATCCAATGATTTTGCAATAGCTTCCTCATTACTTGTGCTTTCAAATAGTTCAAATTGGAGGGTTGGGAGACCAACTTCAAGTGGGATAATAGCCTCCATTCCATAAGTTAGGGAGCAAGGTGTTTCTCCCGTTGAGCACCGTGCTATGGTTCGGTAAGCCCATAGCATGTGGGGTAACTCTTCAACCTATTTTCCTTTTGCATGTTTGAGCCGCTTCTTTACTCCGTTGATGATGGTTTTGTTCGACGCTTCTGTCTGCTCATTACTTTGTGGGTAGGCCAGAGAAGAGTTCTGATATTCGATTATGAGGTTAGCACAAAATTTTCTGAAGATTTTCCCATCAAACTGTGTTCCATTGTTTGCAATCAGTATCTGCCAGATGCCGAAACAGACCACAACATTTCTCATGACAAACTGCTCTGTGTCCGCTTCTTTAATACTTGTCAGTGTTTCAACTTCAACCCACTTAATGAAATAGTCGGTTGCAGCAATGAAGAATCGTCTGTTCCCAGTGCCTCGTGCCAATGGTCCAACAATATCCAGACCCCATTGGGCAAAAGGCCATGGGCTGGTAAGTGGGGTGAGAGTTTTGGCTGGCTAATGAATCAGTGGAGCAAACCTCTGACATTTATCGCACTTCTGTACGTACTGTTGTGCATCTTGTTGCATCTGTGGCCACCAGTACCCATGAGTAAAGGCTCGGTGTGCCAATGACCTTCCACCAACGTGGCATCCACAAATCCCATCATGAATTTTGTAAAGAACATTTTCAATTAGATTTAGATGCACACACAAAAGATAAGGACCGAGATAGGAGCTTCTGTATAGTTTCCCAGATGGTGAAACCCAGAACCGAGCTGACCTATGTCGGATTTTGTTGGTTTCCTTCTTGTCTTCGGCGAGAATGTCAAATTTCAGAAAAACAAGCATTGGATCCATCCAGCTTGGCTCTAGATTATTGCAGAGGACTGGAGATGCAATGCTTGGTTCCAGAATGAACTCAACCCAAACTTTTCTAGTGTCTTTGGCATCTAATAATGAGCCAAGGTAGGCCAGAGCATCAGCGTGGCTGTTTCTGTCGTGACTGATTCGTTCCGCTCGTATGGATTGGAATTTTTTGAGGAGATCCTTAGCCTTGGCTGCATACATGACCATTCTTTCATTTCGTGTTTCGTAGACCCCAGTAAGCTGGTTTACCACCAATTGAGAATCGCTGAAAACCAGAAGTTGCTCTGCACTGAAGTGCTCGGCATTGCATAAACCAGCCATTAGTGCTTCGTATTCTGCCTTATTGTTTAAAGCCTTCCAACCAAGCCTAAGAACTTGCTCCAAAATAAACCCTTTCGTTGACATAAGTACTACCCCAGCTCCCAAGCCTCGGCTATTGGATGATTCATCGACATAGAGCTGCCAGATGTTACCAATGAAGAGTTTCCATGCTTCTAAAGCGCATTGCTTTCCTAGTTCGGTGGTGCATGACACCTGTGTCGAACTGGAGTTCTTGGGCTCAGTGCTCTAGATGGGAGCGAATTCTGCAACAAAATCCACCAAGACCTGGGCCTTGATTGCTGTCCTGGGTTGATATCGAATGTCAAACTCACCAAGTTCAACTACCCATTTCCCGGTTCGGCCGGAGAAATCGGCTCGGCTGAAGACAGATCTGAGGGGGAATTCAGTGAGGACATTGATGGTGTGACCCTAGAAGTAATGTTATAGCTTTCTTGAGGTGATGAGTAGTGCGTAAGCTAACTTTTTCAAGGGTAGATACCGTGTCTCGGCATCTAGTAGAGTCTTGCTAACAAAGTTTACTGGCCTTTGTTCCTTGTCAACCTCTCGAATCAATACGGCACTTACAATGTGATCCGAGACTGCTAGATATAGGTACAGTTCCTCATCTAGTTCTAGAGTGGACAAGAGAGGTGGTTTACTGAGGTATTTTTTGAGACTTTGCAATGCTTCGGTACATTCAGGACCCCATTCAAATGCAGCTTTTTTTCTTAGCAGCTGGAAAAAGGGCTTCATTTGATCTAAAGACTTGCTGATGAACCGATTTAGGGCGGCTGCCATTCCAGCCAGCTTTTGTAGCTCTTTAGCCTTTGTTGGTACTTTAAGCTCTTGCATTACTTTGATTTTATCCGGATTTGCCTCGATTCCTCTATGAGTAACCATGTATCCCAAGAACTTCCCTATTCCTACCCTGAAAGTGCATTTCGAGGCATTAAGGTGAAGCTGATGGCTTTTCAGGATACCAAAGACTTTTTTTAAGTCTGCGAGATTGTTTGTAGTGAGCTTACTTTTCACTACCATATCATCTATGTAAGCTTCCATGGTTTTTCCAAGCTGGTCTTTGAACATTCGAGTGATCATTCGCTGGCAGGTTGCCCCCGCATTCTTGAGGCCAAAAGGCATTATTTTGTAGCAAAAAGTGCCTCTTTGAGTGATGAATGTTATTTTTTCCTGATCTAGACCGAACAGTGGTATCTAGTGATAGCCGCTATAAGCGTCCAAAAAGCTCAAACGCTCATGTCCTGCTGTTGAATCGACTAGTTGATCAATGCGAGGTAGAGGAAAACTGTCCTTGGGACAAGCTCTGTTCAGGCAGGTGAAGTCAACGCTGACTCTCCATTTTCCGTTCTTCTTCTTGACTACAACTGTGTTTGACAGCCATTGTGGGTACTGAACTTCTCTAATCGCCCTCGATGCCAGGAGTTTTTCTACCTCAGTAATTACTGCTTCAGTGTGCTCAACTGAGGATCTCTGACTTTTCTGCACGATAGGCCGAGCTGAGGGGTTGATATTGAGTTTGTGGCAAGCAAAATCTGGGTTCAACCCTGGAATATCATATGCTGACCATGCGAATACCTCCATATTTTCCCTCAGCAATTCGATTAATTAAAGTTTCCCATCAGCGCTTAGCGAGGTACCGACAAGGAAGTACTTTTCTGGATCATCCTCCTTCACTAGGACTTTCTCTAAATCCACTACTATTTTTTCATCTGGGGCTCCTCCTACATCCTTTAAGACTGGTTGTTCGGTCACTTCCACTGTCTGCACCCGATTGTAAAGTTGTTTAGCCTTCATGGTTGCCATGAAGCAATGTTTCGACACAACTTGGTCCCCTGATATCTGCTCTACTCTGTGTTTCCTTGGGAAGTGAATGAGCAGGTGGTAGGTTGAAGGGGCCGCTTCCATTTGGTGAATCCAAGGTCGACTGAATATGGCATTGTAAGGAGAAAGTGTGTTAATAACTAGAAATTCTATCTGCAGAGTCTTTGTTCCAACCACAACTGGCAACACTATCTTGCCAAGTGGCCATTTAGGCTGAGAATTGAAGCCGACCAATGGAGTTGTCGCCGGGGTGAGGTGCTGTTCAGAGAGATCGAGTTTCTTGAACAAGTCGTAATACAATATATTCGTTGCACTGCCCTGATCGTCCAGGACTCGTTTTACATCAAACCATTTCCCAATTCCCATAATTATAATCAGTGCATCAGTATGTGGATATTGAATGCCTTCTAAATCCTTCATAGTAAATGAAACAGTGCACGAGGGGGACTTGGATACTGTGCATACCTTTTTTGGCGCGGGCCCTACTGATATGACCTACTGAATTTGTATAACTTTGGCAAGTTTTTCTCTGAGTGCCTCTTCACGCTCTTGAGTAGTTGTTCCGTGGATTACATTTATTACCAACCGGGGAGGATGCTCAATGTTCGGTTCCGGTGGAGGGTTCCCCTGTTCAGTCACCACTTTATCCTGATCAATGTAGTCTCGGAGGTGTCTTGCAACTACCAAGTTTTCTAAGTATTGCTTCAATACCCTACAATTTTGAGTCATGTGCCCCCTGTCTTGGTGATAGGTGCATTTGAGCTTCTAATTACGCCGAGCTGGGTCTTCCAACATTTTTTATGGCCAAACAAAAAATGGCTCTCTCTTGATCTTTTCCAAATACGATAGATTGGTTCTTTGAATACGGTCATGACTGCTTCATGAGATTTGCATTTATCTACTTCATTCACCGTGAGTCCTCGGTGTACCCCTCGGTCTGCTCTCTTCTTGTGCCGAGCTGTTTGTTCAGTTGATGCTACCGCGATGGGGATCTGGTCGTCTTCGAGGCGAGAGTACTGCTTAATCATGTCCACAAATCTTTCAGTGCTGTGGCCGGGCGCTTGGTAAGTGACTGCCTCAACTTACTTTCTGGGCGCAGACCATGTTTAAAGGACATCATAACCATCTGTTCACTGCAGACGTTTTCCTCCAAGTCATTATACTCTTCCCAACACCTCCTAGCATAGTTGCGCAGCGTTTCTTCCTGTTCCTTTCTCAGACCGAATAGTGTATCTAGCTCTTTCAAGATCTTAGTGTTGGAGACGAACCTGGCTAAGAACTCTTCAGAGAGCTACTTCCAATCGTAAATTGATCCAGCGGGGAGTCGATCGAACCATCAAAGTCCGGATTCTCCAAAGTTGAACGGGAAGACTTTGCACGTCAATGCTTTGTCACGGCTCCATAGGGACATCATCTGTTTATAATGGCTGATATGCGTCAATGGGTCCGACTTTTCATCGTACAACGTGAACTTTGGTGGGGTGAATTTCTTGAGAGGTCTTATGGCCTCTATTTCTAGGGAGAATGGGGAGGAGACGAGCCTATCCAACGCTTAATGCTCTCTCTGGTAGATGGTACGGTCAAGGCGATCTCGTCATTGCTCATTTTTCCTATTACCAATCAGCCAAGTACGAAGGTCTTAAGGGGGGTACTCTGTCTGCTAACTAGATGTCTTCTGCCTCTTAGCTCTTCTCGGCGTGAGCCATGAGTGTGGCTGCTCACCGCCTCACTTTGTACTGGGATTGGCTGGCTCTGCTGCCCAGACTCATTTCTAGAAACTTTCTTCATTGGCGGTTCACGGGATGGACTTCTCTGTCGCATGCGAGAAGGCTCTGCATCGGTCTTCTTCTCCGTCGGATCACCCATTACCCTTTTGAGTTGCGCTTTCAGCTCTTGTATCTCCATTCCCATGGAGTCTATGATTCGATCCCTGTAATCCTTCTCCAGAAGAAAGTGATGAGAAGAACCTCCAGCAAAGGGCAATCGATGCTCAACAGATTCGAGGGTCCGGTTGTTGTTGCCGATTTGTTCTTCTAGGACTGTTGGGAGTGCCAAGTCTTTATCCTTTGTCTTCTCCGTCTGTGGAGTCTGCGTTGGACGTGGGATGTCCTCAATCTCCATCGCCGGAATCAAGTGCAGAACTCGAAGGCAAAGCAGTCCACGTTCACCGCACCAATTGTGCGTACTTAACACCGCACTAGATGATTGTGAATCGGAGCTCCGCATTTGATTGGACTAATTAGGAATTGAGGCCCTGCAATAAAGAGCACCGTCAGAGCTGCTCGACCGGGGTTGGCCGGATGACCCCTCCGGTGTGGGAATGAGTGATTGGAGAAGAAGCCAAGTGCTCTCTAAGTGCAGAGAGTTAAGTTTCAATGAGTAGGGTTTAACTTAGATCAGTTACCTTCAATGTGAAGTCAGTGTAGTTTATATATAACTCCTTGCTTGTTACCCAAGATGGTTTCATGGAGCTGTGGTGCTGCTAGCTTTCCTTTTAACACTGCCCGAGGTTGGGACCATTTGGTAGTTGTCATAGGGTGCTTATACTCATTGTAGCCATGCTGATAACTAACCACATTCCTTTGGTAAACTGTTTCCGTGATTCTAGGTGTAGGGGACCAGCTGAGGTGGCAACTTGCACATGCAAATACTCACAGCTTCCATGTTTCTCTGGTGTGTTCCTTTGTCTCGGCATTGTGTGCCTCAACTTGACCCTTTATAGGATTACTTGTGGAGATGGGCTGGCCCAGTATGATATCTTTGTGTGGGCTCAGCACCTTTTGGGTTCTATCCAAGGGTCAGGTCCTGCGGCTCGGCCTAGCCCAGCATCATGGCTAGACTAACCTTTCCACCACAGATTGGGCCCAGGTGCTTGAGGACTTGGATGGATTGTTGACAATGTGATGGGGTTGAACTGATTAGCCCAATTGCTTATCCTAGTTCTCAGATCTTGAGTCTAATGAATTGGGCCAACCTAGGGATAGGATCTGACTCATTTCATATTTAGCCCCTTCAACACCTATGCATCTTATAACTAAAAAAAAATTACATAATTTCATATTTTTTGAGTCATAATTAAAATAAATAAAAATGATATAATTAATAATGTATATGGTACACTATTTTTGAGGGTGTGTATTTTATAATTTCCCAAAATAAATATAATTTTCATGGAAAGAATCCACTTTTTTTGAAAAAAAAATTCTAATTTTTATGGAATTTTTTTAATAGTCATGTAGTTAAAAGTTAAAAAAATTAAGCATTAATTGAAAAAATTCACTAGAGTTTTTTACTATGAATATGAGCTAATTCGCTATACACCTTAATTGAATTTCAATATCAAATTTTAAATATTATATGATGTGTTTCACGGATGTTTCACAGATTTTAGGTTGAACCAAAAGTAATTGTCAAGGAAAATAATGAGGAAATATTATTTTACTTCTTAAACTATTACGTATTTTTTAATTTGGCTCCTATATTTTAGTTAATTTCAATTTAATATTTGAAGTTTTAAAAAATTGATCAATATAACCTTAACTGTCACATTCCATCCCATCTATAATTGGATGGGATGTGATGAGTTGTCCCCCTAAATTATCTTTTAGAGGGAGTGTAAGAGAGTTTTGCTTACAAAATAAGTTGGTGTGATGGACAGTTGAACTAGGACTTTGTTGGGATCAAATCGATTTTAGGATTTTCAAATTCCTTAAACGAAATTGAAAGCAAAGTTCATCATTGAACGAAGGGCACGAACTAACATTGAATTATGGGTTGGATTCGAAGAGTGAAGAATGGCAAGCGAAGGAATCGACCAACTGTTTATGGTATTTACTGTTAATATTTGCTTATTTTTTAAGCTAATGATTATGAAAATCGGTTTCTGATATACTACTAATTTGTTTTGGCATTTTTTAGAATAAATCTTTGTCTGTTTGTCGTTGAAAAGGATTTATTTAATTGGAATTGTTTTAGTTGAATAGTGTAATACTTGATCGGTGTATTAGTTTAATCTGTCCTTCAAAACAACTAATTTTTTATGTAATGCTTTTGAAAAATCAATTTACCAAGAATATAGGTATGTTTCTCATATGGTAATAGTAGTTTAATGCTGTCTTATGGTAATAGTAGTTTAATACTAATTTTATTTATTTATTAGTATAATTAATGGCATATTTTTTCATTTAAAAAATACAGAGAAAAGATCTTATTATTTCACAATCAAAATGCATTATGAGGGTTTGGTTAGTTATAATCCTCAAAGGGTTTATAGTGGTGGATTTATTAGTTATTTTGACTTTTGTAATTCTAATGAAATATCACTTGTGGAGTTGGATAATATGGCCAAAGAAATAGGCTGCAGTGGATGTAACATCTATTACTATAAAGTTAATTATTGTGCTGGGTTAGAGTTGATTAACAATAATCAAGATGTAATGAGGTTAGAGATACTTGTGGATGGAAACAGAGTAGTAAAGGTTTATGTAGGTTGTTTAGGAATGGTTGATGTTATAGGTTCCCAAGTTAATCAAGGAGGGTCAAGTGCAACAAATTTATGAATGTTGGTTTTGTGCATAA